ATATATATATATAGAAATTTATTGGACTTGTCCTTTCTGGAGCCCAAAAAACACATCTTTCTCTATCTTCCCTCTGAAAAGGTCATGGACCGAGAGCCTGACAGTTGTAAGGCAGGGGAGGGGACCCGGCGGGATAAGGAATGCCGCTGGGTCCCCTCTTCTCTCTGCCTGTGTCCATAACCAAGATGACCACTAGCACTTTAGTGCACATGATGTCATTATGCACGTGTGTGATGACATCATGCGCATGCGTGATAATGTCCTAGAGGGTGACATCCTCTGGCTGCACTGGGTGACACCAGGCCTGGGGATGCCTTTGTCTTTAATAACTGAAGTCACAGACATGGAATATGGAAGACCTGCAATTGGCTCTGTGATAACAGGGTGCTGTAATGACTCCCGACTAGTCACGGTGTACAACATTGATAAGACAGGTCATCAGCACGCCCACTAATGTGCCCTCAACTGCACAGCTTCATTTATTATATGACCACAAAGATAAGCTGATATCATACAACAATAGAAGCTTTGTACTTGACAAGCGTGTGGGTGTGCTGATGGAACATGCATAGTCATAAATAATTATCTAAAAGCATTGAAGAGGATCGCCATGACAGCCAGGCAGATAGCATCTCCTCTTTATTGAAGGCAGGCTGCATTTAATCATGGTAGGATCTGTGTGCGACTTCAAAACTCAAGCTCAAGCCTAACAAATGCCTTTCCTCTGAAGTATTTCAAGTATTCACATTAAAACCGAGCACCAGCCATTACAGCAGGTCAACCATGACTTCACCCCCCCAGCAAGCGTGCCATTTACCAGACAGAAGTGACGTCAGACTATCAAACAAAAGACAGAGGGACAGAACGGGAAGCGGGCCAGCTTTGTGCTACTTTACAACACAGCCCAGTAATTCAAGACGGCTGCTGAGTAACTACAACTCCCAGCATGCCTGAACTGGACCTTAATACTGGTAGAGAACAAGAAGAGCTTAAAAAAGGAGTTGAAATTTGGAACAAACTAGACTGAACTAGAGGCAAACCCGTTTCCCATAGCAACCAATAGAAATTCATTATTTATAGTGTGGAAGGATAAAACAAGCAAAATGGCTTGAATAATGGAGTAATGGCTCTACAACTGCTGCGGGTTTCCCTCTGCTAACCATCAAAAATCACACAGCAGTTGTGATGGCTAAAGTAACCCGATTTCAGGTTTGTTTGTTTTTTTAAACCAAAATGCAAAAAGCGCCAAAATTGGTTGCAAAGCAACGCACACTCTTTTTGGACACTTAGGGCTTGTTCACAGCAGTAGCCAAAAATGATGGCTGTTCCCCTATATGGGGTACAGAGAATCCAGGGATCTGCATATTATACTTTATGTTTTTAGTGTCAAAAGTATTTTTCTGGCCAATTTAGCTTATGTCCACTACAGGCCACGTCAGTCACTTATATGACCTTTACTTCCTGACCGGTAGCCAACAGGAAGTGAGAGGAGAGATATCTCAATATGGGAAATCCCTTCTTAGTTGTCATCAGAGCAAGTGTTCCCATTGTTTCCCTGTTCCTGTGACCATTCAAAATTTTGGATCCCCCCAATCATCTTCAATCCCTGTGACAATAGTAACCAGGGCAATAGAGAGGGTAAATCGCCCTGTGAGGACATAGACAGCAATAATGGAGTTGCTAACCTTTCATTGTATAACAAAACACAAAAGAAACTAAACAAACAAAGTTTTGGCTTTAGATACATTTTATCATGATAGTATTCAGTGATGAAGTGGACCTCTCCGGTACTCATATTAGGCAAAGCAATAGATTTGCTTTACAGGAGCGACCATCAGCCATCACTTCATTCACCCAGAAGTAATGTGTATTTCTCAGGTCTATGGGAAGGCTGATTGTGGTCCCACTAAGGCAAAATGGTTACTCGTCATTGTACCCAATACAGGTTCTCTTTAAAAGGTGGCGACACATCAATATAATCACTCTATGTGACTATAATAATCTAATTAACATCAGAAGCATAAACAGACCCTCCATTCAATCAATTTAGCAAGTTTTCCATCGATTACAAAGCAACAGGCCGTGGCAGAATTTTATTGATCTAATGTGAACGATTGAACGCATATCAGTCAGACAACTGATCATAATACAGATCCATGAAATTACTGATATGTTGTATTGTTTTATATTTTAATCTATGATGAATCGCAAGTTTGAGATTGCTCATACCTAGGTTGATATGTGCATGGCCACTGTAAAACCTAGCTGCCAGGGGGCCCCCCAGGATGGCACCCTGTGTAACACCATTCAACAATCTATACAGCTGTATAGCACAAGCTGAACTTGACTTCTAAACAATGTATCTCCTATATAAAAGTATCCCTTTAAGCCCCACAGTGCCGGATGGGTGTGATCTTTGCTACCTGAGATCAGATCAGCCTGGAAACACTCAATGCTCTCTATAGAAACAAATGTATTAATATAGCAATAGGCTGCTCCTTGCAGATGATTGAACTTTCCTCCCAAGTTACACTTCCAGCCTAGGGAGTTCTCTAACACAAGTCTGTCCTTACCTTGTCCAGCTCACTTTTAGGCCATCCTGATCCACCAGTTAGTTCCTCTGTAACAAGGATCACATGGGGAGATGTGAAGAGTAGAGCACACACTGGGAAGGTGTAGGAGCCGTTCACACCCTCCCTGCTTTCAGGAACTGGGAGGAAACCAGCTGGGACTGCCCTAGGTCCTAAAGCTTGACTCCTGCAACTGGGAGATCAGCACGTCAGGGACAGCGAGCGTAAAAAAGCAACGGCGCTGAGTGCAGCCATAGGCAATCAGCCATGTGTTCATAGGTGGGCCGTATCACACCTTTGCATGCGTTAATGTCCACATTTTTGTGCATTGCATCAAGCCAGCCCGTTCGCTAGGGCTGCAACAACGAATCGATTATACTTGATAATGGGAATAGTTGGCTACTATTCTCATTAACGAATAGTTGAAGGCGTGGGGGAGGGGGGGAGAGATATACAACCAATCGATTATTTGAAAAAATAATTGGGCAACTAATCGATTTTGAAAATAATCGTTAGCTGCAGCCCTACCATTCACTTCTTTGTGGAGTTATTTTCGGGGGATGTCTTACCGGGCTGGGGGAGGAGTACTCACAGGACTGGACGAGGTCCCGGAAGGCGGCGTGCTGTTGCCGATCCCGGTGTCGAAGTTGGCGGATGATATGCCGCTTCCATCGGGCGTGTGGGCGGGGTGGGAGCTGCAGCCGGCTGGCGTGTGGGCGGGAGCTGTGGCTGGTCTTTACATTTAAAATTCAGTTATATGTGTAGCTACCCCGAAAATAAGACCTAGCGCTATCTTCAGGGATTTCTATAATATAAGACCTACCCCAAACTAGGTCTTATTTTCGGGGTAGGTCTTATATTACAGAAATCCCTGAAGATAGCGCTAGGTCTTACTTTCGGGGAAACACGGTACTGAAAATTCGGCTTGGTTAAACAGAGCTGGAGTCTATTCACATACATTATATAATATACACGAGGGGTAGGCATTCTCGGCACTCCAGATGTGGTGAGACTACAAATCCCATAATCCCTCTGCCTCTGGGAGGAGTCATGCCTGTGGCTGTCAGTCTTGCAATGCTTCATAAGGCTTGCAGTTCCACAGCAGCTGGAGTGCCAAGGTTGCCTACTCCTGTTATACATTATACGGATATACTGTATATATCACCATCAGACTAACTACAGACCAGTGGCAACCTCTTTCACCCCAACAGAATCACCAGCACCACATCCACTTCCTGTGAGCCCAGGTGGGTACGTCATCAAGTCACCCTGGGCTCATAGAGTAATGTTGCTACCGTCATTACATGGCACTATTCATGACCACCACTCCTTAAAAAAGAGGACCTGTGGTGTCACATGGACGGACAAAAGACTGCGGGATCCAGGAATATATAAAGTGAATTGTAAAGAAAACAAATTGTGGGAAAAGGGGGAGCAGGAAATCTGGAGTTGGATTTTAAGCGGCGGGGATTGTCAGATCGGATGGGAGGTGTTATATTCCAGTAGACCTTATTGTAAAAATTACATATGATACAGCTGGGGTAAGAAACCTCCGCACGCTAGCTGTGGTGAGACCACAAATCCCATCATGCCTTTCTCTCTGGGAGTCATGCCTGTGGCTGTCAGTCTTGCAATGGCTCATGGGACTTGTAGTTCCACAGCAGCTGGAGTGCCGAGGTTTCCTCCCTCTTTGATACAGGAACAATGCAAACTCTTACAGTCTACTACATTAAAGGAGAATTATGAGGCGAGTGATTTTCACTCAGCCTCATAATCTGAGCCGACCTGTGACAATGAAACTGTCACAGGTCGGCTCAGTAGATCGGGAAGTGAGCGAACACATACCGTCGCTCGCTCACTTCTCGATCTATCCCTGCAGAGAGCCGTGACTGTCACTCACGGCTCCCTGCAGGGATTCCCCCCTCCCCTATCTGATCCTCCAGCGGATGGGGAGGAGGCGGGTACAGCTGGCTCTGCTTCTGGATAGGCAGAGCCAGCTGTCAATCTCGCAGCTGGGTGGATCCAAACAGTATTGTCGGGATCCGTCCCGGCTGCGGCGTCTCAGTATACAGCTCGCGGTATACTGAGCTTAGGGTGACGGGAGAAAGCTGGTCTGTGTCCTCCCGTTACCCTTAGGAGAACTATGGGGAAAAGCCTATAGTTACACTGTATTATCTATATCGGTGAAGAACCTTGTACAGGTGTTTACAATATTTTAAAATGTTTCTAAATAAAATATGATATATTATCTGAAGCCGAGAAATTTGTTTTTTTTTCCTCAGCATTTCAAAAAGTACAGTCTGCTTAAATCGCCGGATTGCATAACACAGGGCCATACAATGTGTCTAGATCTGGGTGTGGTAATATGTGACACAATGGAAGTTATGTGATCAAGGCTGGCCATTCACAGCCTGGCCACGTTTATTCAATTTCCTAATGCACGTGTGGGTAACTCCGGCCTTCCAGCTGTGCTTTAACTACAAATCCCATCATGCTTCTGCCTCTGGGAGTTATGCCTGTAACTGTCAGTATTGCAATGCCTCATGTGACTTGTAGTTCCACAACAGCTGGAGTTGCCTGCCCCTGTCCTAATGTGACCGTCAGGTAAGGATTAAGATTGAGGCTTCTCTACATAGTGAGACAAAGAATTCCTAAATGTTGTAAAATCATGACGCACACAGAAAGTCTTCTAGCAAGTTGCTTAAAGTGAAATTCCACCTTATAAATAATAAACAAACACTTCTTCATGAAAGAAAAAATGAGCATTTATTATTTTTTTGCATAAGAGCCAGTAAAGCCTTGCAGCTGTCATTAGAGGATTGTGTGTGCAATGCTGTGACTCCTCCAGTCCATGTGCCGACCAAGGTTACGGACATGGACAGGAGAAAGAATGAATGGTCTACAAGTGCATTAACGTGACCGCACTTGTATTCCACTGAGAACTACAAGTACCTCTGCTGGGGTGGCTGATGGGACTGGTAGTGTCTCCATTTACAGATCCTGATGGATTTAAGGCTGGGTTCACACCTGGGCGTTTTTCAGGGCTGATCGAAGCGCTGAAAAATGCTCAGCAAGTGAAATCGCATACTTTCCTAACGGGATGGTTCCCACCTGGGCGTATTTCAGCCCGTGGAAACGCGCTGAAAAACGCCCTACGCTCCAAACAAGTACAGGAGCTTCTTTGGCGTATCCATTGTTATTCCCGAGTGTGGATCGGGGTTAACAAAGCGGAAACCCCCGAGCCACACTCGGGAATACATCGTAGGTCTTACCTTGTCCGCGATCCCCGCAGTGTCCTCCGGCCACTGCCGTCTTCCGTCCTTTGTGAGCGTCGGCGTCGCAGGGGGGCGGAACCGGCGGGAAGTTTGAAAAGTAAAAAAAAAAACAGAAAAAAAGATAGAGAAATTAAAGGAAAAAAAAAATATCATACCGTCAGGGAGGTATTAAAACGCGCGTTTCACTGAACGAAAAAACGCGCAAAAAAACGAGCAGAAAAAGAGCGCCTATAGTACGCCCAGATGTGAACCCAGCCTAAATATATCATATTGTGCCAGGTCATAATATTACATATCCTTCGTCGTATACTTGTTCTCAGTGTTAAAGGAGAACTATGGGGTCAGGGCTTTTCCCCATAGTTCTCCTGTTAAATCGCATTGTTTACCCGTATCTTCAGAAACAAATCACTTCTACTGTCGTGGTAAACAACCTGCTTCCCTATTTATAATAATCTGGCCCTCTAGCAACTTCAGCACGAAATTATAGCTAATTTGCCTACAAATGTCAGGTGGTCATAATAATCTGGCCACTCAGTCTATATGCATAATACTAAAGCTGAGGCTCACAGACCCCAATGGCATTCGGAATCCAAATTTCCAAATTGCATTGGCGAGCTCCCGAATGCCCTGCGGGTCTGGGAGCCTCAGCTTTAGTAATATATGTATATGTCTCCCAGACCTGAATGGCATTCGGGATCTGTATTTCCAAATTGTATTGGGGAGCCATTCGGGTCTGGGAGCCATATACAAATATTACTAAAGCTGAGGCTCCCAGACCCGAATGGCATTCGGGAGCTTCCCAATACAATTTGGAAATTTGGATCCCGAATACCATTCAGGTCTGGGACCCATATACATACTGTATATTACTAAAGCTTCGGCTCCCAGACCCGAAGGGCATTCGGGAGCTCCCCAATGAAATTCGGAAATTCGGATCCTGAATGCCATTCGGGTCTAGGAGATTCAGCTTTAGTATTAATATCTGTGTATGGTTTTCTGTTTTACTCGCAACAATTAATTGTAAGCTCATCCGAAACTAACGTAAATTCGATTTTCGTCCAAATCCAAAACCCCGAACCGAATTGAATTTTGGATCCGAATCCCGAAATAATGAAATATCCGAACCGAACCAAATTTTTCCGCAGCTTACATGTCTGTTCAAAACTAACCTCAGAAAGTATTATTTTGGTGAAAGAGTTGGTGATGTTTGGAATAGACTTCCAGCAGAGGTACGTGAATTTAAACATGCCACATAGATTTATACTCACAAACGGGGGAAAATAAAACACAAAAAAATTGGGGCAGACTGAATGCAGCATTTGTTATTTTTCTGTCGTCATTTTTGTACGCAGCTACTTCAGGGCTCTGCGCTGGCGGCTTATTGGTCCCCTTTGTTGGGAAGTAATCTGAGAAACCCCCCTCTCCCCTCCTGAATGCAGGAGAGGAACTACCACCCCCTCGTGTGCTCTTTTCTGCCTCTCACACACAGAAAGCCTCATGTAGTAATGTCAGAACTGAGGGCCCATTTACATCTCTGCGGTGAGGAATTCTTGTGTAGCAGCCGCATAGTGCCCGTAGGGAATGCGGAGTGGTTTCATCAAAACCGAGGCTCTAAATATTCCTCATTAATCTGTGTAGGAGAACTTTGCATTTTTCCTTCATTTCATTTTTTTTTGGGGGGGCAGGGGATGACTCTATGACAGTTTAGTTAAAGGATAATTAAAGCCTCCGGTTTTTCTGCATATATCTACTGCAAGCAGTAGATATATACAAAAAGTGTAAAAAAAGAACGCTTTTAAAAGAGGTCAATACTTACCTATGTCTTCAGCGC